TCTCCAAAGACCCGCCTTCGGTCCTACCTCCGGACCGAGGTGTGCGTCATGAGATCGATCTGGTTCCGGGAACCAAATACTGCGTAATACGCCAATGGCCCCTGCCCAAGGAGCAGTGCGACGTCATTGACGCCTTTTGCCGTGCGAGGCACGACGCAGGGATGGAGCGTGAGATCAAGTCGCCCCATTCGACATCCACGTTTTGTGTCCGGAAGTCGAACGGCAAGTGGCGTATCGCTCACGCTTATAATAAGCTCAACGCTGCTACCATTTCGGCACAGACACCGACTCCTAGGAAGGATTTCTCAAGATCAATATGGTTGGATGTTTAAAGTACAGTGTACTCGACTTGGTCGATGGGTATTACCAATTGCTCATGAGAGCGAGTGATATTCCGCTGACAACGGAATACTCCGAGCGGAATGCTCTGGGAGTGGCTGGTGACAAGGGCTGTCAAACGCCCAGAATCATTTAATCGACTTGTGGTGCAATTTATCAGGCCCCACCGGGCGTATGCACATACATACTTCATCGACATCGTCGTCCACAGTCATGCGAGGCACGGGAGGACGAATGAAGAGAACCACATCGTCAATTTGAGAGCGGTGCTCGAGTGCAAGCGCACGAATAAGCTGTATGCTAATGCAGACAAAGTGCAGCTTCGGCGCTAAAGATTGCTAAAGATTTTTTTTTCAGAATGCTTCATTGAGAACCGTGGCCTTCGAGCGCATTCCGCTAAAGTCAAGGTCATTGTCGACTAGCCAGTTTTAAAGAGCGAAAAGGACTTGCGCAAGTGGCTTGGCGTCGCCAACTACCTGCACAAGTATAGCAAAACGTATGCGAAAATGGCTCGGCCGTTGTTGAATCTACATAGAAAGGGTGCCGGGACACCGAGCATCAGGTGGCTTTTGACGGGGTCAAAGATAGCCTTCTTTATGCACCGATACTAGCGCTGCCAGATCCCGACCGTCCTTCGAGTGTCGTCTGTGGCGCTTCGGACTTTGCCATCGGATGTGCTGCTGCAAGCAGACGCCGAAGGGCGATATCGGGTGATCGCGTTCGAATCTCGCCAACTCAAGGCTGCAGAGAAGAACTACCTAGTCCACAACAACGAGTTTCTTGCGATGAAGTACGCACTTGTCAAAATCTGGGCGCACGTGCTCGGCTCGAAGCCGTTTGTGATCTTCACAGATCATGCGTCACTACGCGCTGCGACTCAGTCGCCTCACCTCTCGCAGATGATGGCCAGGTGGATCTCTTTCTTTGCAGGATAACTTTGAGGTGAAGTAACAGCCAGAACAGCAGAATGCTTTGGCTGATGCGTTGTCACGCAGATCGGCTTATGTCACGACGGTGACGCCGTCTGTGACGGATTTGATCCGCGCCGCATACGCGGATGTTGATCCTGCGTAGCGCTGCCACGGGATCTCAGGAGCAAGGAGTATCATAACTCAAACAAGAAATTGTCGTCGCGACTGCGCGCACGGTTGCACCAATATTCGTTGAATAACAGATTGCTGTATTGTAGCAACGACTCGATAGATACGTCACGCATGACAATTTAAAGAACTTTATCCTCTATGAACCCACGACACCCCACTTAGTAGTCATCATTCGTTCAGCTCTGTGAGTTGTCACTACTGGTAACCCAAGCTGTACAAGTGGACGAGTACATACATGCGCACGTGTAAGACTTGTCAAATGGTAAGTCTCTCTCCAAATTCGGCGGCGCCGCTGGCCAGTTTGTGTTTAGTCTGTCGATGAGCTCGGCGGGCAACAAGGGCGTGGTGGTTTTTGTCGACCTTTTGAGAAAGATGGCTCATCTTGCGGCGGTGCCGGACACTATCGACCCTGTCGGAACAGCGACGCTGTTTGTAGATTGTGGATTTTGATAACATGGACTTCCGGAGTCAATTGTCGTTGACCGAGACCCACGTTTCACTGTGTCGACAATCTTCAAAGTGCTGAACACCAAGCTGACTATGTCAACAGCGAACCATCCGCAGGCTGGTGGTCAAGCTGAGCGCTTAAATCGAGACTTTGAAGATGTCCTTCGCAGCGTCTGCACTGAGATGCCGAGGTGCTGGAGCGCCATGCTGCCACTTGTAGAATTCGCTCTGAAAAATGCTGTGCACACGTCTACCGGCTACACGTCGTTCTACTTTAACGGTTGTTCATGCTCGTGTCCCACAGACGCCTCCATCTAATGGTTCAAGGATTAGCCGGGCGGCTAGCTGTTGTCATCCCCCTCACCGTTCGTGAGGAAGCCAATGACCTCCTGTCTACCCGACTGAGTGTCTTATTACCCATTTGCGATGCGATGTCTGAAAGTCAAGACATGCAGAAAGAATATACCGACGGAAGAAACAGAAGAAATGTTGAGGTCGATAACCTGATTTTTTTCAATGCTAAGAACCTTCCTACATATGCAGTTTTGCTGTCTTTAAGGCGAAGCTCGGTCCACAGTTTATCGGATCTCTTAAGATCGTCGTGTCCAGGCGGGGCCTTGCGTATACGCTAAACCTTCTAAGAAGTATGCGCATCCATTCGGTGTTTTATGTGGGCATGCTTAAGCCAAACCGGGGGCCGGCGCAAGTGAGTGCAAAGGCGTTGGCGCCGGAGCGGCGCCCACAGGCGCTTGACCTCCCAGAAGCTGAACCAGCAACTGGTTTTGAGCACGAAATGCAACGATCTCAATCTCCAACCGCGCCAGGCACTCCACCATTGCATGAAGTGACGCACTCGTCTGATCGACGTTTAGGATCCGCTCCGACAGAGCGCGATAGTCCTCAAAGTGAGGCAGTCGGTGCACAAAGTGCTTCAAGCTCTCGAGGTCTCCGTACGGCGGTATTCGACCTCAGCATGATGCTCAGCGGAGTCCCGATGGCAACGGAACTTGTTCTCAAGAGCTTGAAGATCATCGCGAGTCACCGAACGGCGATCGAACAAGTCGGCATCGTCCGCCACCGACTCTTCTCGACGAGATCGGCGGCGTCCACTATCGACGTCGTCGACAGGATCGAACCCAGTATTTTGTTAAGTGGTGGGGATACCCAAAATTCGAGAGCTCGTGGCGGTTTGAGGAGGAACTTTGGCAAGACTGCCCAGACGTCGTGGACGCTTATGATCATGACGTTCCACGTCCGAAAACGCCCCGCACTTCTAGGTAATAGCCGGGGAAGCCGAAGGGCCATGAGCTGCTGTGGTCGTAGACTCACCCGTTTGAAAATACTACAGAGCTTGCGAAAGCGTGATTAATTAATCCATAAGTCGCAGGACGACAATACGCAGGAAGTTGGCGTTGTGCCATGGGTTTGGCAAATTTGAGCCGATGGTGGCGTTCTACACGCACGTCCACCTCCTTGTGGCTCCGCGAGAAGCTAAACAGCTAGGAAAGTTTCCGTCGCCGCTGCACCCATAGCTTAAAGAGCTCTTCACCATCTGCAGCGTTTTGCCAGGGGCGAGTACCACAGGAGCCGGCCGCATCGCGGTTGCAAGAGCGCCTCCTCTTTGAGCACGAAGTCGAGCACGGTACCTATCTATTTGGATTTCCTGAGGTACCAAGAAGCAAGCTCGAATATTTTTTCGTTGATCAAACTCGGCTTGTGTATTGGCCGGGGACCGACTACGTAGACGCCCAAGGATCGAGTGATCGCGATCTTCGCTTCAGTAGCGGGATTCGCCTAGCGGAAGCCATTTCCACACATGGGTCTAGGACCAGCCGCGGATGCGAGCGCATGAGGGCCACCCAGTAGGCAGCCTCCAACCGCTGCTCCTGTGCCAAGTCGAGGCGATTGGTAATGGTCCCACTTCCCCCGGAAGTCGAGAGGTCGGGAAACGTGCATGGTGTTCGCAAGAATCGAGCAGGGCTCACGCATCGTTGGCGCACCTCGCCCTCCACTTTTTCCCCTCCTGAGAAAGAAGTATCCGACTCGTTGTCGACTTCTTTGAATCTTTGACGAGGTTATCCGTCGCCCGTGGCGACTGATGCGCTTCCCTTGAAGCCGCGGACGTACTATCCGGAGTTGCACCGTGTGCAGGATATGAAGAAGGGCTCTTCCCGCGGACGCTCTCGAAACCAGCGAGGCTGGGTATCGTTCGTGTCATAGACACAGAGCTCATTGAGCAGAGAGTGCGTGAAGAAGGTCCTGGAGACGTGAAGGTATCTTCGACACGCGATCCTCGTACGAGGCGACAGTTAGATGTGAATTGTGTGCATTCACAATGTTGATGGGGGAGTACACGTACCCTGGTATGAAGGAGTGAGTCGCACAAGATGGTGTGACTGTACAATGGTGTGGATTATAAAAATCGGTGTAATCACACAGTGGTGTGGCTTCACCGTAAGAAGAAGCCAATACGTGGCGGGACTGTCAGTAGTTATGTATTTTAATTAGGTTTTACTATTTAAGATTTCGACACAGGCGGCTCTGCCGCAAATAAAACAAAAGAAATACAGTTGACATTTTGATAGGAAGAAGGTAATTGCCTTGGGTTAATGTTGTGGTTGTGGGTATTCTTGGAGTTAGCGGATTGCGATCCGGTACACTCATACGGATTCTAGTATTGAACGTAAGGTCGGTGACCTTAGCTTAGCTTCCTTCAAGCAAAAAGCTACGGCAGTCGTATTGCAAATTACATCACATATGATACGTGCAGCACTATTGAATTTTAAATATGTTAAGGTGTACGAGAATTACTACAAAATGTTAGTTCAATTAATAAACTAACATATCACCTAGTATCGCAGCCATATTGTTTTGCTGCAGATAGATACGAAGTTGATCGGACGACTGGATCTGTTGGGGTTGTATTTCTGGCGAGGAGATACTTTATTGTCGTTGTAACAACATTACTTGCTTAACGGGTTTATGTCTTAAATGGCCTCGAGAGATTGCGCAGTGAGTAAGCTAACGGCCGAAATATTATCGTGTAGCAGCATTCAACAAAAATGCACTGCGCTAATAAGAAAAATAACACCGCTTATACTAAGCGACCAGCCCTTCTTAGTGTCAACGAAAGAGCACAGCTGATTATCATTCGCAAAAACGGCCGATATCGAGGGCAACTTGACGATACTGAGCGCGAACAGTGGTATGGCTAGCCTTTAAGACCCAACAAATTCCTTTTTTTACCTTGCTGAAGAAGTATGACAACGTATCTACCACGGGTGTAATTCTTGTATCCTGGGGTGCATCATCAGATTAGGCAAGATCCTGAGGATTATTGCGCCACTTAACGATGTCTCTTGATGAAGAAACATTGTGATTTTCAAGGCGCTTTTTTCTGCGCGAGACACGAAGCGGGTTTGATGGTAAAAGCATTTTATCTACTCTGCACTGTTTTTTTCAAACAGGCTTATTGTGCATATCTACAATAAGCCGAGTTTCGCAACAGACACCCCAAGCTAAAAAGAGTCTCCCTCTTGTCGGTAGTGCCTGATTTAGTGCTAGTAACCTAGTCTATGAATCCCTTTTCAGTGCTAGTGACCTAGTCGATGCATGCTTATTCAAGAAAATGACGTCCAGTGAGTACTCCGAACGGGAAGTATTATGTGTGGCTGGTGATTTTAAGAAGAGTTGACTGATACAACAGCAAAATATCTCCGTACAGTAACCTGGATGTACGGGTCGCATTGTGACCTATTTCAACGATGTACTAGTCTATAGATTCCGAAGTACATGGCACTGTAGTTTCTAGGACACATGCCCTAGGTTGAGTGGTAAAAGTATCGCTACCAACGGGATGTCCTCCTTCCGATTCCAGAATGGTGCATTCTTGAAGCACGGAAAAACAAAGGCAGACACCCGTCTCAAACTCTTGCCTGCAGTTTGCACATTAGCAAGCTCTTCGCCAATATGGACAAGTCTGTCATTGGCGTAAAAGATCGATTTCTGGGTGCATTCTTGTAAAGCGGGTGGATCACGTTAGGATCAAGGTCATTGCAGATTGACCAGTGCCTTTGTCATTAAGAGTTTCAAGGAAGCAGCTTGATCTCGACAGCTAATTGCACAAGTATTGTACAAACTATGTACCCACGGCACAAACCTCTCACCAAAATCGTTAAAAAGGATGTCAAATCGTGCTAGAAAGCGGCAGAAACAGAAAATGTTTAGGCCGTGATTTGTGTTCCGATTCAGGCTCTTCCAAATTCAAAATGGCCATAAGAATGCACTCCGCAAAGTGCAAAAGATGTAATTATCAATTGCTGGAGCACAATTGTGCTCTTCACAAAAAGATCCCGACACAAAGTGAAGACACATGATATAATGGTGTCGTTGTGTAATTAACATCACACTGAAAACACTTTTGCCTCGACAAAATTGAAAGCATTACATGACTCTGAGACAGAGAATATGTGTAATTTGCGCGTTAGAAGTTAAGTCGAGTCACTTGATCTCAAACGAGGTACTTTTACTTTACGTTACGTAATAGTCTTTCTGCAACGGGTTGACGTGC